TTGAATCTGAAGGGAGTCTCTCCCGCTGCCCTGTCCTGACCTTCGCGTGTTTTGTTTTGTTATATGTATAGGTCAGGTCAGTGTTTAAAATAATTAAATGCTATGTTTAAATAAAAAGAAACATTTTTATTGAGATGGATTGTTGGTGATTGTATGGGTGTTAATGGCCAGATTGGGTACCTATACATGAACAAATAAAAAGACAAAATAATAAGACCTGTTAATTAAAAAAGATTTAAGAGCTACAAGACAACATTTCAGTAGATGTAAGACTTTTTAAGGCCTAAAATTTAGCTTTTGAGATTTCAGAAATTAAGACTTAAAAACCCCACGGATACCCTGTTTTATAAGCTTCTAATACAACTGTCAATTGTATATTGTGGTTCGCATAGCGACTGTATTTGGTTTTGTGTAAGGTTTATTCATAACACTGTAACAAAGATTCAAGTAAAAAAAATGTTAGGGTATTAAAACACTATATATATAACAGATAAAGATAATACTCAATGTAAAATGCGTAACGAGAAACGTCGAATAAACGTAACCAAATTGAAAATAAATCCACCAAAGCAAAAAACGCACTTGGAGAGGTGCGTTTTGAGGAAGTGTGATCTGATCAGGCATATCATTGCTCAGTAATGGGGTCATGAGGGCCTTTTTTCCTTCTTTCACACCCAGCAGAGCGTATAGGCTTCCAGAAAGCTCTGGGCCAAAGAACACATGCACTTTGCTTAAAGATGTGCGCCAGGTCTCCTCAGCCCTGCTGCTGCAATGCAAGGCCTCATTTACACCTGGTATTAAGATGCATTTTCGTCAATCTGCTCACAGCAGGAGGACACTAATAGAGGTCAGGGTCTGAAACATTTTGAGCTTGCCTGCTTTCGACCACTTTCAGAGGTAGTTGAAAACCTATTTGTTCAAATAGCTTTCACAGTAGACAATCCTGTGTTCAAATAGGCACAAATGATCAACTACTCTCCAGCTACTGACCAAATACTTGATTGAAGAAACTGGCCCAATAATGTATTCACTTACTTTAACTCAAAAGCTTCATTTACTTCATTTAAGGATTTATGACAAAAATTTTGTTTTTTTTTAATACTTTTTAGGACTCTATACATTTCACATTTATAAATGTATCATTTCTTAAAATGGAAAACTGTTAAAATGGTTAAAATGGTATAATATGTAAACGTTTACAACAGTTCTGTCTGGTTCTTGAATCTGATTGTCTTTTAGCCATGAGATAATAAAGTAATATATCAGCTCTCTGACAGCCTTTTCAGCCTTGTCTATTACTTTGCCCACACCCGGACACAAAGAAAGCTAAACATCTCTCGACACAGTTTGACAAGTATTGATAATGTACTTTTAAAGGTTTTTAGTTGAAAATTTAGTTGTTTAGATTGCAACTAAGTAGTTTTTTGATGATGCCTAATTGGACATTTTTTTTTTTATAAATTTGGGACTTTTAGCGTGTCAGCGGCCGTCAGCCTGTCATATTGAACGTCGTGAGCACTTCTTTGATGGCTATTAATTCAAAAGTTTGGAGAGTGTCTTTATTTTAGTCTACTGTAAAATGTCATTTTTTTAGGCTGAATATTAAGGCAATATTTTGGTAACTATCATCTGTTATTTACTCCAGAGCAAATAGGTTTGATTGCAATGTTAAGTTTAGTTTATTGCTGACTTGGTTGTTATTTTTTTGACTGATTTACTTGTATCTATGTTGCTGTTTGTTGTTTGTTATGTTATTGATCAATAAATTAATTTAATATATATTGCTGTATTATTTATTAAAAAAGAATTTTGTAGTAATTTAGAGCGACTTGAGCAAAGATATTTACTTTACATTATCCCAGCACAAGATGACACCAGAGTGAAAATGCGGAGGATAAAAAATAATTTAAACTAAAACGAAAGTTGAACAAATCATCATAGAACGGGTGAGTGACATGCTAAGTCAATCTATCTTTTTTATATGGTGTAGTGTTGTTTTATACCATAGCCTGCTTTGACTTTTTAGGGGTTAATTATTGTGATCTCTAGATTGCAACAGAGAAATATTGGGAAATATTTTTAGACTAATGGCATTTCATGCAGTTCAGCCTTATAATCTTAAAAATTGAGCAGAATCACCTGTTTTGTCAACACTTTAGATATTACGGTAGAGAATCATTCAAATTCTAGCTCTGAGGGTGTACTCAAACTATGCTTTACGAACCATGCCCAAGCCCGTTTCCCATATTGTTTGAGAAGAGTGAGTGCACTAAATCGGGCTCAGGCACAGTTCACTTGGCCTGCCCTGCCCCAGTTGAAAGAGGTGTTCAGATCACGGTTTACTTGGGAAACTGAAGAAGAGATGTGACTTTTAAGGGACTGTTTCAAATGGATTTATTAATCATTCTTACTGATCAATCAACACAAACTGTAGCAGATTATTAAAGACGCAAACCCTTCACTGCACGACAGCTGCACCTTTAGCAAACCTCCTAATTCCTGCAGCACAAGGACTTCAGGATTGTTTACAAGCATCAAAAGTGGCTTATCTGTTCGACATAATGTTTGACTGCTTGTCAATGCATCTCAAACGACTTAAAACGATATAAGGATGTAAAAGGAAATGTCCACTGTGCAGAGTGAGAGTGCTTTTGACCAGCGCATACTCAATGACGCAATACATGTGCTCAGGCCCAAATTGGATGTGAGCGCAGGTTGTCAGGTGAGACGGGAGGTGGTACAAGTGTGTTTGGGCCCAGTTCAAGGCAACTGTAAATAGTGTGAATACACCTTAAAGTGACATTGGTGAAGTAGCACTGGTTTCTGCTGCTGGTTTCTGCTGTTCTAACGTCAGCTGCTGCAGATGTGAATAAATAAAAGTAGTTCCTCATACAAAAGGATTTTTAGACTCTGTGTTTGATTTTCTTTTTTATACACACGGTTATGCCTTCAAACTGTTATAAATGCAATATCACACTTGTAGCACTGCATTATGGCTGTATATCGTCATTTGTGGGACACTAAGGCAAAGCCAAAGCACGCCTCCCACCAGTGCCGATATACAGCCATAGCTCACTGCTTCATTTACTGATATTGCTCATATATACTGTAAACTAATACAGATAAATCCCAGAAATACAATCAAATCAAAGATTAATGCAGTGAGCACATTGTAAAAAAAGCTGGGTTATACACAATTAATTTGTGTTGGGACAACACATTTTTGTTTTTAAATTGGATTGAAACATTAAAAGAATTAAGATTTGTGTTGGTTCAGCTTATTTTAAACTAGTAATTTGACCAAACGTCAAACATAATTTTTTGAATGCATGCGCAAACATTTCTTCAGCACACCAAGTATGGACATAAACACAAGGAGATGATGGTGACAACAGGTTCATTTAAATGTACAGTATCTGACGTGTGTAACTGCGAATGTGTCTAGTTGATACATAATTAGTATGGTTTGTAGTAATAGTGCTTATAAACTTCACAGTTAAACTGCCATTGTTGTTGCCAGTTGTTATGTGCATGGCATGCTGCCACCTTCTTCTAGTCATGGTACGTTGACGCTGTTGTTTCCAAAAGGTAACATCCTGGCTTTCCAAATGGCTGGATGGTGGGAAGCATTTTGGGATTGTTCTACTTTGTAACCCATTATCCCAAAACGTTCATTTCAGGGCACCATAAATGCTGGTGATGTGTGGAATAAAGGCCGAAACGATATCACATTTTTGCAGATTGGCTTAAATCCATTGCCATGTGGATGGGATCTAATAGTACTTGATGTCACACTGTTAGCACTTTAAGTACAGCATAACACAATAAGAAAGAAAGCTCTAAGCGAAATCAAAACACAAGAGACACATTTTGATGCGTTAGAAACCGGTGGAAATTATAATGCATCTTCCAGATCACTGGAAACTAGAGGTGTAACTGTAGACAGAATTCCGTTCTACTCTATTCAACAAAAAATATAAATTGCTATTTACATTTGTGGAGATCAACAATCAAAGTCTGTGGTAAGCATGCACCTTAATCCTACACAGAAGAGTTTTGTGTTCTTGGAGCTTTGTATGATTACAGTTGAACAATAAAGTTGTAGGATTGCTTTTCTAGGCAAAATTAATACTACAGGGCCGTTTGACTCCCACCAATTTTAAGCCTTTAACCCTATTGATTAGGACATAGGAACATTAGGAATTTACAAGAACATATTATTAATGAAAAGGTCTGATTTAAGTCAGCGGATCAGTACATCATCTACATGACAAGTTCCAGACGTGCACTAGTTTTACGTGTATCTAAAATGTACAACATTGCATATCCCAAGTGACATATTTCAGATTCACAAAAATGTAGACAGCGCCCTCTCTTGGATTTGTCATCTTAAATGTGCAATGAAACATACCCAGGAACAACTTATTTTACATTTGCAAATGAATGTAGGCTGTTGAATAGTTTCCAACTAGCCTGGGATGAATGGTATGGTATGAATAAAAGTACCCTACTGGAATCATCTTAATGCTAGTTACAAGGGCCCAAGAATCCTCTCGAATAAATAATATTCACCACACTATGATTAACATGACAGGTTGGAGCTTGGTCCACTCACAAAAAAATCTGTAAAGCAACAACCGTGATGTTTGTGTGTGTGTGTGTGTGTGTGTGTGTGTGTGTGTGTGTGTGTGTGTGTGTGTGTGTGTGTGTGTGTGTGTGTGTGTGTGTGTGTTTAGCACAGCCTCTTAGCTGATCTGCCACAGCGCTGTTTGTATACACACCTACGGCTTTCGCCCACCCATTGTGTTCTCACTGCCACAAGAGGCTCGCAGCACTTCTTACATTCAGACTCTGTTAAAATCATCTCAGCATTAACATGACGTAGGTGGTCCTGCTGAAGCAAAGCCCACAGTATCCATCCACCTCCGTTCCTTTCAAAGGCCTTCATGCTAGGCGACATGCTAACCGTGTCAGAGACCTGAATCGGTGTGGGGGCTCACCTGCAACTCCTTCTCGCCGTACTTGGAGGGATTTTTGCTGCCCTGGCTCTTCCTCCGCAGTTTCTTCAGCTCAGCCTGGCATTTCTCCAGACTCTCGCCTTTGCTTTTGTGCTCAATCTGGTACTTCTTAAGAGCCGCCTTCAGGAGAGGAAAAGAACAAGAACATTGTTGGTAAGTGCAGAAATCAGACTGTTGCAATGGAGTTGAGGAAGACATGGGAGTCAAAACCCTTTCAAAATACTGGCTGTCTGCCACATCCTGATTTTACAGTTAGACACATGTGAAATACACTGTTTTCTGTTGATCCTGAAACTTTATTCCTGTCTGAAAATGTAATATAAACCTAATCCCTACTCCTAAACCTAACCCTAAGTGTTCTTTCTAAAATTAGAAGGAAATCATAGGTGATTAGCATATGCCTTACTCTGATTGTAAGCCGCAACTTAACATTAACAGTGAACTTGTCCCTCAAATTTGATTGGTTGACTGCAATGCTGCTCCACGATTAAGAAAGATGTTGATCCAAGAATGTTGCATTTGGTAAAATTTGGTTTTATCTCAGTTGGTTTTTAGCTCATCAAGCCTAAGTCATGCTTCTTCTAATGTGAAATGTCACAATGCATAAATGTAATACTACTTCTACCACTACTTATAATAATAATAACATTAAAAATAATCCAGTTCATAAACTTAAGTGCTTGGTTATTGTTAAAACAGGTTACCCATTTAAAACTCACACTAGACACCATTAGTCACCATGAACTTAAAAGTCTGATGTCAAAGCATTACTTAGCGTTTAGATATTCAGTTTCTTCTTTACAATATATTGGTATCGAGGTAGTCAAGTACCCACATCGTGCTGGAGACACAGAGATTACTTGAAACGTGAAGCTTTTAGGATTTTATTTTAGACACATGATCTCGGAGAAGTTTAACTTAAGAGTTTGATATTCGTCCATTTATTTAATGTATGGTTGGGTTTATTTATTTATTTATTTAAATATATATTTTTTTTAAGTATTTTGTTATATTTTTTGGGGGGTAATTTTGGTGGTTTTTTAATCTGATCTGTAAAAAGTTATTCATTAATGTTGTTATTGGTGGTTTGTATCATTCGATGTATTAAATGGGATCAAGAAATCTAGAAAAGTTTAATAATTGACATTGTGTCCCAGTTTGTCTGTTGAAGAAGAGCCAGTGTGCTGGAAACATCACATGCTGTGAGCTTTTTTTTTTTTTTTTTTTTTTTTTAGTAAATTAATTTGATACTTTTGAAGCTTTAGGTGTTGCCGCATTTTCATATACAGATCAAGTCAAAACTATTAGCACTCCTTTTGTTTCAAATATTTTCCAAATGATGTTTAACAGAGCAAGAAATTCATCACAGTATTTCCTGTATTGTTTTCATCTAAAGAATTTTTTTTCTTTATTTGTTTTATTTCAGCTAGAATAAAGGCATTTTATGTATTATTATTATTATTTATGAAAATCAACTTTTGAAAGCTGTTTGGACCGAAATGTGTGTAGGTATAGTGTGTCCACCATCATATTGGAGTGATATAAACCCAACAAGTCTTTTTTTTTTTTTTTTTTTTATTTCCTGACGTAAAGAAATTATCCAAATTCTCAGTGATTTTGAGGCCCACCACAACATGAGGTAGGAGTGCAGTTTTCCCCGCCCACCAAATTTAATTGACAGGTGCTATGTCTCCATCCACTTGTTACAGTAAGTGACGTCACATGAAGAGGCTTCCTGGTACAAGCGCTATACAAAACTGTATTGGGAGACTCATCAAATGGCATTAATAACTGGTTTACAAAGCTCTGTAATACTTTTGAAAATCACGATCGCTATATATTTATCCATGCCTAATATTAGATGGCCAGTAATTGATACATTTTTTATTAAATGTGTAACATTTTGGTATTTTTGATGCAGCAAGTCCAGAGACTGTTGTGTACACCATAACTTTATACAAAAGTCACTTTAATGTGTGATAGGACTAAAAAGTGGCCATACACAAATAAACAAACAAATAAGACAATTTCTCAATTCAACGCGGCTTAGACCCAGAAACTGTATTTTAAACATCACCGATACAGCACAACTTAAATGCATAATGACATGTATACATGTCCGCAAAATTTTTTTTTTGCAAAAACACTGGGATTAAAACATGTAACAACTTTCTGTGATCATCTGCACTTCAATAATTAATTAAATATAGTTTAAACTGTTTTTAAAACAGAGCATGTTTTTTAACAAAGAGTGTGAAATCGCTATGTAATTCTTAACCAATATAATCACTATGGCAACAAAGTGCCCCGTGTGTGTGTGTGTGTGTGTGTGTGTGTGTGTGTGTGTGTGTGTGTGTGTGTTTGTGTGTGTGCGTGTGTGATTGTCAAATGACATGTGTGTGACTCATCACTTCAGAAAGACTTGAATAAACTCCACCACAAATACATCAAATAAACTTAATTGGTATTTTTGACTTAAGAGCTGTATTTCAGCTACAATTATGTCTGTTTTATCACTGACTGCTGTTTAGACACACATGTCGGAGCAGTGGGCGGGGATAATCGGCTCATTTGGATTTGAAGCCACAGGCTACAAAAACAAGTGAGGGGGTTATAATTCTGACTACAATTGTTTGTTTCCGTACTTTTTGTTTGACTGAACACCCAGTAGAGATTGATGTGCATGCTTTTGTTAAATCACTTTTAAACATTAAGGCCCAATCCCAATTCTACCCATTAGCCCTTCCCCTTCCACCTACCCCTCATTTTGTGCATTCCCGTGAAGGGGTATGGGTGTCCCAATTATCTTTAGCTTAAAGGCGTAGGGCTAAGGGGAAGGGGTAGATAGCCCTTCGAAATGAGATTTTTCAGGACCACACTCGAACATAGGGTTAAGAAAATTTCCCAGAATACACCAGCCACAAAGGCAGAGTAGCTGCACCCGAAAGTAAGAAGATCCACAGATTAGTATTTGTTGTCATTATTACAAATTTGTCAAGCTATTTTTTTAATAGATTAATAACCACGTTCGTGTTTTACTGTCAAGTTTTAAAAAAAATAAATAAAAAAATAAAAAACACAAATAAAAAACGATAAATTTCGTGATCTATAATAATATACTATCTATAATAATAACTTCTGTATAGCAGTCCCAGAGCATTCTGTCACTCGATGACACTCGAATAAAAAGTCAGTAAAGTTTAGTGGCTGGGAATGATCTTTTTTCAGTGTCTGCTATAATGTTAGTGTTGTTTTTGGTGTGTTTACACAGATGAATATGGCCACTATGTAAATGCGCAGTATAAATTATGATCTTATTGCCACATTAGATCATTATGATAATATAATATATGCCTTCAGTGATTTCTTGAAGACAAATTTTAAAAAAATAAAACAACTAGAAGTCACGATTGTCTGATCTCATCCCATATCACATATGTCTCCGATCACATATGATGACATGTGCAGGTGCTGTAGTGCTGTCCCATTTCTTAGGGGTAAATATTTAAGCCCTTCCCCTTCACACTCGGTTTTGAGGGCCAAGAGGAAGGGGAAGGGGTACAAAAACAGAATTGGGGTTGGGCCGAAGTATAAAAAGCAAAATATCAGACATAGAAAGCGGGTTAAAGCGCTCTGCTTTAACTCCACATCTGATTGACTATCTAGCAGAGTAATCCTCATGTAAAGTGCACTTTCCCCAAATTCATGATTGTATTCTCTGTGACAGACACATACAGCGCTTCCAGCATTTGCACAGAACATCTGGGAAGGCATCGTAATTCTTCTGTCAGCAACTGTTAGTGAAAGCCTTGCAAAAAGTCAGCGTGCTAAAAAGCCTTCAAAAGCCAGGCATCTCGCTGAGGTCTGGAGCACAGCTAAAGGTCTGGGCTTCTCAGAACGATGCCTTCTGATGTCTGCAGAAGAAAAGAGGATCCCAACCGCACAGCCTGGCTCCCGGCCCGAATTCTGGAGGCTGGTACATTTTGGCTGAGAGCATCTCCAGATATATGACTCTTCGCACATCCTACACGAGGTATGATCTCTAGACTACATAGCTATAAATAGTCTGGCAGCTCCACCAGATTCTTGCACAGCAGGAATGTGTCTACAAAGACAGCGTTACCATGAGGGTGATGGAGCAATCGTTGCATGTTTGGTGAAAGGAAAATGGAAGATCCTGTTTTGACAGACATCATTAACTTTACCTAGCACATAAATGATTCACAGTGAACTACACATTGTAAAAAAAATCTAATTATCAGGTTCTGTATTTTGTCATTTATTGTTTTTTTTTTCCTTATTTACTTACTGTGTGGTTATTAATTGTGCTATGGGACCTTTATGTCTGCTGTGTCAACTTTTGATGTTGAAAATTCAACTGTGCGAATGGACAAAGTGACTTTAACATTTTAGTACTTTTGGAAAAAGAAATTGTGTATAAGAAATAATATAGAGAGAATTAAGTTTTTGTATAATTGACAACATAAACTCAGGCCCTATATCACAAAAAACTATTAAAAAACTTTTTTTTTTTAAGTCAATAAATGTTAATTTTTTATAAACTGTATAACAATGAAAGTTGTTTGAGGAAAGATCACAATCCCATAATGTGATTCAACAGTAAGAAGAAAAAAAAATTGAATCGAAAAATATTGAAAACAGTTCTATATTTATTTATTTTTAATATATATATATATATATATATATATATATATATATATATATATATATACATACATGTGAATGTGAAAATCAAGCCTGATGTGTTATGGATCAGGATGATTTCTTGAATTTGTTTTAACAAAATGTGGTTCGTTAACATGCCATTTTCTGATTGGATTTCTATAATATTGTAAAATGTAAATGTTAAAATGCTCTCCAAGATACTAATTCAGATTCGAGATACAAATACAGTGGTCCTCAACCACCTGGGTCGCGGATCGGTACTGGGCCGCACAGGAAATCATCAATTGTTTCTGTTTCATTTATTATTGGAGTCTGAATAATGTTTTATTTTGAAAAATCTTTTACATCTCAGTTACTTGAGTAAGAAACAGACGTCTTTGAAAAGTTTCTTTGCATAGGGGGAAAGACCCAGTAAACACTCAAAAACATACCTT